CTCTCTCTCTCTCTCTCTCTCTCTCTCTCGTGTACACACATACATAGAAACCACAAGACGGGCTGAGCAGAAGCCATTATTTCCTGCCATTATTTCCCACTTCTTTATTTGTTAGTTTTCCAGGTTTCTCTCAAAGAGAGACAAACAGAATCTTTCAGAACGGAGATCAGATCTCCAAAAAGGATGGTTTGCAAATCCACAACGTTCCCTCAAACAAATCCACTGATCCACACACATGGGAAGGCCCTGTGATGTGAAAGTTGTATATACATCCAACGGATCGACCGTGATCCGAGGAGAAGAACAGTTCTCCTTTCATGGCAAAGACAGCCAATTCCAGCACACCGCCAGCGTGTGATCGCAAGGCCACTGGCTCACAAGAACCCAAACTCAGCGCATACCAGTTCCACCCATTTTTGCGTGTTGGTTAGGTATCTTAAACCACCAGTACGTTTGCCAGCCATTTTTCTGCACACTCGGCATGCCCGCCTCAAGCTTCGGGTGTCAGCCTACCGGAGCAAAATGGCAGGTGGCGCCAGCCCAAAAAAGGCCCATACCAGTCCATTCCTTTTGGATGTACAGGGCATTTCCACGCTTGGCAAGGGAAGGGACTCAAAAGTACGGGAAGCTAAAACGACATTCAGGGTTTTTTCGTTAGGCGTGCAGTAGAAATCCCGGTCGGGGAAAAGAGGCTCAGAGGGACTCGTGCTTGAACTCTTGTTTTCTGTGTTCTCTATATCTTGAAACCAGTAAGGAATTTTGAGGAGACCCTCAGCCACAAGTCGGTTGTATTGCAATTTTACACAGCATTTTTTCCCCAATTTTCTTGAATTTTTTCCATCATTATATGTACCGCAGTGGGACTGCACGGGACCCTGCCAGGAACTTGCCCGGCCAGGCCTACCTGGGCGGTACCTGGGCAGACAGAGCCGGTCACGGCTGCCCGGGTACAGGCACAGGTTTGAAGAGCAAAGACAATATGACGCTGGCCCCTCAAAGTAAACCACAACAATAGACTCAGTTTTCCCAATTGAGGAAAAGAGACGCAGTCCAAACCAATTGTGAGATTCTCAACATGAGTTCTTGCAATCTTTCTGCGACTGTTTCTTGTGCTGAATACCTCAGGAGTTGAAAGTAAGAAGTTGTTCAATTGAATCAATTCTGTTCACCTGTAAACATGTTGCACATCATGCAGGATATGAGACAAGTCAAACCACCAGTACCTTTCATGATCAACGATGGCAGATACATTGGTTAACCACCATGATTTTCGGGGCCTCAGCCTACAGGACCTTTTTGGCAGGCGGTGCCAGCCAAAAAGGAAGAAAACTCCTGCATGTCATTTTGTTTTGCTCTTGGCACACAGCAGAAATCCCCCTCAGGAACAAGAGGCTCGGGGGTACTGGTTCATGGCTGCTGAAATATTTTAGTGCGGCTCTCACTCCCCTCTGGAGAGTTTATCACATCAATAAATCACGACGACTCCACAGGGGGGTTGAAATTGATCCAAGTAAAACCACCCATGCCTTTCACAGGCAACAGAGACCGACGCATCTGGTTAACGACCACCACTTTCGGGGCTCAGCCTATAAGATCTCTTTGACTCGCAGTGCCGAGTCAGCCAAAAAGGCAAAAGAATGTCCCACAACAGTTCATTTTGTTTTTGGCGCAAAACATTGGCAAGAAGAGGCTTGGAGATACTGGTGATTTCATGGTTGCCACAATTATGTTTCTGGTGCGAATCCCACTCCCTTCGCAAAGTTCATCACTTCAAAATCATGACTCCGCATGGGATTCAAATCATACTTGCGGCGCATCGACGTGGGCTGCACCACGCACACGCGCCGCACTGCGCACAGCGCACGACGCGCGCGCACGGGGTGCGGCGCACCCCGAAAATAAGCGGTCCAGAAAAAGGGAAAAAAAGTTGGGGAGGGGTGGTTTAGACCTGAGTGGGATGTCGCGTCATAAACCACAAAAAAATATTAACAAAAATTTGAGGCCGCGCGGGGCAAGTTCGTTTTTTTGTTTGTGTGTGTGTGTGTGTGTGTGTGTGTGTGAGAGAGAGAGAGAGAGAGAGATGGTGGGAAGAGGGAGAGAGAAGTAGTGATGGTGGATGGCGGAAGGCGAGAGAAAGGCCGAAGGTGGGATGGTGGGAAGCGGCGGAAGAAGTCGGGAGGGGAGAGAGAGAGAGAGAGAGAGAGAGAGAGAGAGAGAGAGATGGCGGGAAGAGGGGGAGAGAAGTAGCGATGGTGGATGGAGGGAAGAGGGGGAGAGAAGTAGCAATGGTGGATGGCGGAAGGCGGGAGAAAGGCCAAAGGTGGGATGGTGGGAAGCGCCGGAAGAAGTCGGGAGGGGAGAGGGAGAGAGAGAGAGAGAGAGAGAGAGAACAAATCAAATGCATCTGCCGCTAGAACATGGAAATACACATTGCGCACATGCGCGCAGCACACTAGACGCAGCGCACTGCGCACCCAGATGCGCGACGCACGACGGTGCGCGCGCACCCTGGGTCCGTGCACAGCGCACCGCGCCGCGCACAGTGCCGGTGTGCCGCAAGTATGATTCAAACTGATCATTCGAATTGCTCCATTCCGACATATGGGCAGGAAGAGAAGAGGTGACATTGCTAGTTCTGGAACCAGCCTTAGAAACCACTGAATTGTGTACAAGGTAAAACAATCCTGCTATGTTTTTTTGTGCCCAGAGGCAAAAGTTTACGTGGAATTCAACTCCTTGAACAGTGAAAGCAAAGTGGAGGATAATCAAGCCACCCAACAGCCATGTTATAACTACATGCTTGTTAATCAAACCCAATTACATGCGGATAGGGCAAAGTGCCCTGTGGCAATGCAGCCATCATTCGTTGGTGTCACTGCTGCCTTCTAAAATGCCAACAGCTTAGGCACATTGTGCAGATGAGCAATTCTCCAGGGCACATACACCCAAGACCCCCTATCTTTTCCCAACAGCAGAGCCGAAGCAAGCAATTTCATGAAAAAATAGCTACATCTTATAACAGATGGCTTTTCAATCATGGCACATGGTAGGTGCAATCCCAAGCCGGATCGTTCAGAAAATGCTGCTATGTTCGTACCAGGATCTACATAGGCACGGGAGCACAGCCCACATGCCTGCAAAACACGATCGACATTTACATGTCCCAAATTGCAAGACAGAATGATAATCACCAACCGATTGCCCCCCTTCCCCCCCGCCCTTCCACCCTCTCCCCTCCCATACATGGACACACTCGCAAACAAACTAACAATGCGCAGACATCCAGCATGCAAATGTTATGTTACCTTTGGATTAAAGACAAACCGCTTCAGCTGAAAGTTAACAATGGGAGGGAATGATCTGAGTTTTACACAACGTGTCGCATCCACCCTCCTCCCACAGTATTCACAGAGGTACTGATTCTCCCCTTCCAGCTTCTCTTCACTTAGATAGTCATCTAAGCTTTCTTCAAGCCCACGGAATCCTTTGACATTCACCTCCAACTCATAGAAGTCAACCAATTGCTCAGAGCTTCCCGACTCAAATCCACATTCCCAGCACCTGGACATGCAAACAGCAACCAATTTTCAACTTGGAAAGCAATGAAGCAATGCCTGTTTCTATGAAGTAATCTGCTCAGAGCCTCCCCCTGTACCCCACCAGGAAGATTATAGTAACGGTAACCCCCTCCCTAGCTTTCTGAACATCACAGGAGGGCATATCTGCGGGTTATCTCTCACTCAGCCCATATAATATCACACACGGTTCCACATAAACTAATGGTGATATTCTTCATCGCAAGACACCAACTTGCAACCAGCATTCCACCAACGCCATCCTGGGACCATTCCATTCCGGAAATATAGGCAATAAGAAACAGCCAATCATAGTGAGAGCAGGCAAAGGCGTCTGCTGCTATTCATTGCAATCCAGCCCCATGCCTGTTATGAAGTATCATGCGACCACCACATGAGCATTCCTGCATAATGCTTTGCCCAGCCATATCTACTAGCAGTAACTTCTGGAAGGTTGGCCGTTCGGGCCATGTGATTCGCATACACCCAGCTGTGAACAGGTAGCCAATGCGTGGTAATGGGCCAAAGAAATAGCCTTCAGACCTGTCAATCTGGCCCGATGCCTTGCACTGATAACAAGAAAGACATGGACAGCTTACATGGATGGGGGGCTTTGCATCAACAACTTGTCACACTAACAACAAACCAGAAAACAGAAGAACCCGTAGTATCTTCAGCCACACTACAACAACAACAATAACAGAACTAGATGACCTGTTGTGGCTTCGCTCGCAAAAGCAAATGCGTCAGGTGATGACCGACCGATGAAAACTCTCTCTCTCTCTCTCTCTCTCTCTCTCTCTCTCTCTCTCTCTCTCTCTCTCTCTCTCTCTCTCTCTCTCTCTCTCTCTCTC